CCCCAAAACCCCAAAACCCCAAAACCCCAAAACCCCAAAACCCCAAAACCCCTCACATTATTCAACAAATTGATAACTAATGCAAATAATATCATTCTTATTTTACTGGGATTTTGTTCGGATATTATTCACTCTATGAGCCTGGGCTCCAGATGGGCAAGTTTTCCTCGGAGAATCTGTCTTTACTACTGGAGCGGCCTTTACTTCTGGTTGAGCGACTCTCACTTGTGGCTTGGAGGCTTTTATTCCTATCTTGGGAGTCCTGATTTCAGGTTTTGGAATTCTAACTTGTGGTTGAGGAACATTTACATGTGGCTGAGCAATCCTAACTTCTGGTTTGGCAACTCTAGCTTCTGGAGGAGAAATCTTGCACTGAACTACTGAATGTCTAGGGGGCTCAACTATTTCTGGAGCTGGGTTGATCCTCTGATAATAAGACAATCTCTGTGGGGAAAGTTCTTTTGGTGCAAGTTGCACTGGAGCTGGAATTTCTTCAAAGAAGAAAGGTTCAGGAGTGATTGGTTGAGGAATAGTGTATACATCTCTGACATCAGAAGTCTCATGAGTGATATTTTCTGGATCAAATAACTGGATTCTACGGCTATAATCAATTTCTTCAGCATTATTTCCTGAGAGTGGGGAGTATCCTGATGCCAGCCAAGATTCAGGAATTTCATAATCTTCTAATTCAGAAATATATCCTGATGAACTACTTGCTGGATGAGAAGGAGGAGGTGAAACATGGCATTTCTCTTTCTGAAATTCAGGAGATAGAGGTCTAGCCTCTAGAGTAACAGTTGGCTGAGTTCTGCTTCCACTAATTCTTTGCTGGATAGATGCTGGATGCTCTACTACTTGAGTACGAGTCTCTCCAGGAGCAAGAGTCACTTGTCTTGGACCCTGAGCAGTCTCTTGTGATTGAGCTGTTGCTGGCTGAGCATATTGGACTGGAGAAGGGGTTGGTCCAAGAACAAGCAATGGACGGCTTTCATCAGTAATAATAGGTTCCTGAGGAGCTAATTTAACTCTTCGAGGAACAACAGTAAAACCAGGTCTGTTGTTTTCAAGAATTTGAACAGCCTTCTCGTGAGTATTTTCGTCCAAAACTTCGCTCAAAACTATTACACCTTTGTCGTAGATAACAACATATGGGATAGCAGTGATTGAGAACTGGTTTTGAAGTTCGCGCAATTCTTCTTTGCTTACATCAATTTGCATCAGGTCAGCTTCTTCGCTGATCCTCTTCTCGATATCGGTATTTTGATGTTCTGGAGGGACTCCTCCATCCTCTTGATTGAAGATATTGCTAACTGAGGTGGCTACTCCACTCCAGAATCCAGATTCAGTTCCTTCGTCCAAGCTGCTATCATAGAAAAAGAGTGCAGCTACTGAATTTCTGTTTTTATCCAAGAAGTTATTCACATCTTTGACATTGGATGCTTGCTGTACACCAGCGTATACATAGCCTATTACGAGTAGGGTCACTAAACCAAGGGCCCAGTTGGGTCTCATCTTGAATTAAATTTAATTATATATAAATCTAGCAATTTTTCCGCCTCAAGAAGGGGTTTTGGGGTTTTGGGGTTTTGGGGTTTTGGGGTTTTGGGG